CCAGAGCATTCATGTAATACAGCTGGGGGTGATTTTGCAACTGTCCAGCAGTCCAAATTGTACCCTGGGAAATGTCAGTCACTTATCACTCACACACCGAGCCAGGCCCGCGAAGGAAGGGGAAGCTTTATTATGAACCAGATTGCTACTGTCACTGCCCTGGGCCTTGGGTGCTCCACATTGTCTGAACAATGGAGAAATGAGCAAGGAGGCGACAAGAGCTTGCAAAATTGTTGCTAGCGAACCCACCAGAAGGGACAGGGTAGCCTAGCCTCTGCTGTTTCAGGTTAGCCTCAGTCAGCCCTTAGCTGGGACAGCTAGGGGGTAGCTACCAGCCAGTGTTGTGTCCCCCTCTGTCCCTGATCCACAGAGGAGATGGGTCTGCTACAGTCTCCACCTACCAAGGCTGGTTCTTTAGCTGAAGATGCAGCAGGGCACGCATTTAGCTCTGGAAGTCCCTGTTTCAAGCCCTGTTGTCAGCAAAAACAGTAGCCAGCCCCTATGTGCTGCCTATGGCGGTACTGGCCATACATACAGGGTAGGGGTCTCTGAAAAAAGTTTGTGGGGGTGATGCTGGTTAATCAACCAAATATGAGCTCTCAGGGTGATGCTGTGGCCACAAGAGGTAATGCAATACTAGGATGCAGAAATGGGACTCTCGAGGAGAGAGTATTTGACACTGGTACAATCACTGCTGGAATACCATGTCTGATGCCAGAGCCCACAATTCAAGAGGGATGTTGATACATTGGAGAGGGATTAGAGAAGAGCCAAGACAATGATTAAGGGATTGGAAAACCTGCCTTACAGTGAGAGACTCCAGGAGCAAAATCTATTTGGCTGAACAAAAAGAAGGGTAAGGGGTGACTTGATCACAGTCCATAAGTACCCACCTGGGGAACAAAGATTAAATAATGGGCTCTTAAATCTCGCAGAGAAAGGTCTAACACAATCCAATGGCTGCAAGTTGAAGCTAGACAAATTCAGGCTGGAAAAAAGGAGTACATTTTTACTGATGAGAGTAATTACCCATTGGAACAATTTACGCAGGGTTGTGGTGGATTCTCCGTGACCGATAGTTTTAAAATCAAGACTGGATGTTTTTCTCAAAGCTCTGCTCCAGGAATGATTTCGGGGCAGTCTTCTCGCCTGTGTTTTGCAGGAGTCTAACTAAATGATGCCCCTGGTCCCTTCCAGTGGTGGAATCTATGAAGTTAGGGGTCACTCCTCTCCTAAACAAGCCCCAAACTAATGGAAAAGCAAAATGGCAGGAGCTCGGCAGGAGTTGCCCTCTAGAGCTGGCTAGAAAATCCCCGCTGGAAAGCTTCCTGATGAAAAGTCAGGAGCATTCAAGGAAGGTGCGAGGATCAGGGGAATTTACAGCAGGGCTTTTCCAGAGCTTGGCCCCCAGTGCTCCTGTGACAGCGCCAGCCCACATCACCCATGTGCTGGTGGAAAGCGGATTCAGGGCCTGACTCAGATTCCATGAACCAGCAGCTCCGTTTCCTTCTCTAGCAGCGCCCCCAAGGTGACACCCTGCCTGAGGCACCTTGAGCACACCCACCTTCCCCCCAACCAAGCTCTAGCCTCTGTTGAGACAAACCCATGGTCCTTCCCCTCCCCGCACCAAACCTCCCACTGCATTTTGGGGTGAAGGGCAGGAACTTTAACCCATACCCCGCCTGAATTCCCACACCGCCCAAAGATGTGTGTTCCCTCCCACTGACGGGTCAATTGGAGACCGTTTCGACTGCTGCACAGGGGGAACGTGTTACATGTCCTCTCTGTCCCTGATCCAGAGGGTGCGGGTGAGGCCGCAGCAATCTTTATCTCACTAGTTCAATCCCCAGAAGGGTGTGCATGCTGCATGCTCTCAAGCATCAGTCACGTTCTACCTTAGAGGTGGCTGTTTCTCTGCTTCAGGGGTGATAGAAAAGAACAGAACCTGCACGAGAGGTGCAGTAGGACAAAGGAGAAGAGCCTGGATTCTCTGCAACAGGTGGAAGAGACATTGGTTACTCATCTCCCTACCACCAGGGGGAGGGGGAAAAGCACAGGAGGAATTCAGTCTACCCCTTACCTTCATGAGGCTGCACAAGGACCCTTTTACTCACCTGGCAAGTTCCATCCACTGGCTGAGCTGATGGACTGAATACCCCCACCCCCTCCCCACGCTCTTTATAAGCCTGTACCCAACATGCATCCGTATCAAGTATGGGAAGATGCCCACAAACCCAAGGCAGGGAGGTCAAACTAGAGCCACCTCCTTTGCTTTTAAAGGCAGTGTTGGTGGCAGAGCAAGGTGCCACCGTGCTTGGCTGCCAGGCGAGATGTCGCAGCTCAGGGGTGGGCCTGGGAGGAGGAGACTCACATAGGACTCCAGGAGGCTGGCCACGTCGGAGCGGATCTTCCTGGCCAGGAGGATGATGCGGCTGCAGAGGTTGTGGTGTTGGAGGGGCACAGGGGATTGCTCGGCCGAAGCCATCACGCCAGCCGGCTGTCCCAGATGCAGAGAGCAGCTGAGCCAGAGAGATCACACGGGGCTGCGCCACGGCCAAGCCAGAAAAATCCCTTGCTCAGCTCGCACATTCCAACTCTAGAGAGCATTAGCCACTCACGCGCCTGGGGAGAGACTGAACATGTCTGCCGTGGAGATCCACAAAGGCAGATTTTTCATATCTTACCATGTCCCTCCTCCATGCGCCTTCAAGTTGCCTGGCCCAGAATCAGTCTCCCACTCGCTCCACCCTTCCTCCCCCAGAGCCTGTCTCCCCTACAGCTCTAGTCCACTCATCTGCGGCTACATCTGTCCCTCAACTTGTATGAGGGGTAGTCTATTTTTTGTGAAGGTCCAAATTTCTTGGTCAAGGTCCAGAGAAAAGAATAAAAAAATAAGTAAATAAAAAGATTTTGGAGTCTGTTCAAAAGCATCTGGCGATTGGGATTTGGCCCACGGTCCTATTGACTACCCCTGTTGTATACAGCTGCCAAATGGGTGTCCTGATAATCCCCCACTGAGATGAGACACAGCCTGATACGATCCGTTATTTCCCGCATCCTCCCTGTTCTGTCTGGGAAGTTCTCGCTCTCTCCTTTCGTGCTGAGCCAGGTCTAGTGCCCATAACCCTCTTTTCCCAGACTTGGAGTCCTTTCACTAGCTAATGTTAAGCAACGACAAAACACAGCCAGATAAATGAATATAAGAGAAAATAAGCATGCATGCTGCATCCACACTTGAATTTTCTTGTCCAGGAAAGGTGATCTGATCAACAGCCAGAGACTGCAACCATTCTACAGGGGCGAAGATTTGCAAAAACAGGTGTCTAAATAAGAGACTTGATTTTCCAAAATGCTGAGCACCCTATAACTTCCCACAGCAGTCCTGAAAATCAAGCCATCCCTTTTAGGCTGGTTTTAAAATCTTGGCCAGCACTCCCTACTAGGTTCTTCTCCTGAGCCCGTCATTGCAGAGAGGCAAGGGATGTTTTCTATCACCATGGGTCGCTTCTCTCCCCTTGAGTTGAGACTGGAGAGAGCACCACTCACGTTGTGGGAGCTCAGGCCCAGAGCCCCCAGCAGAGAACTCGCAAATCCAGGACACCATGCACAACTGTTTCTGCACAGCGTCAGGAGTTTATCTAGACCCAAATATGCACTTGGAAAGATTTGGCTCTCTCCTGAGATTCAAAGGGTCCCAACGCTTTTAGTGGTGACTGTGTCCTTCTAGGCAGAAGACCGCCCTGGCACACTCACGTCACCAAACCGCAGACAGCTCAACCTGATTTCCAGACTTTTGACCACGATTCAAACTGGTGCTGTGAAGGGAAAAAGCCCCATCCAGCAGGCATGATACTAGTGCCATCCGTCCTTACCACCCATATCCCTGCTGATCTGCCGTCCTCTGGGAATTTAATTAGGCATTTACCCTGCTCAAATGTAACTGAAAATAACGGCTCCCACCCTGCTTATATACCACCATGCCCTTCCCCTGTGATCCCAGCATAATCCACTACAACCACCGCAGACAAGCTGCATGCACCAAGACAAACAACTTTTATTGTGTTTTCCTTTATACATGTATTTTGGTTATGTCTTACCCAAATTAAGAGAAAATGAGTTGAAAAGCAGAGTGTCCTTTATTACATTTTACACATTACCCTTTCCCCAACTTGGGTTCAGGTAGCTACCTGGGCTCCCCCTCTCCCTGCGGATATTGCTGTGGGACAAGACTTATAGCAATCAAAGGTTTGTCAGCTTATGCATCTCCTCTCCCCAGCTTTGGTTCCGCACGAGAGGGGTGTGCCAATGCAACAGCTGTGTTGCCACCTGGTGGCTACTGCAGGTAGTGCTGCTAAGCAGTATAAAGTTTAACCCCCCCCCCTCCCCATTGGCAGGTTTCATGCTAATCCAGGTTGTCCCCCCTGCCTCCCCACCCTGTCCCAGGAACTGAAGGATGGCCAGCCAGCTTTCAGGAAGCATCAGTGCCAGATGGAGTGGCAGCAGAGTGACAGCGGGCGGCTGATGCCCCATGCACAAAGCAAAAGCCCCTCTGCACAACTCCCATGCAAGCTTAACCTTGATGGTGGGACGCGAAGAGGCAACTCCAACTGCGGAGAATGCAGCTTACATGGGGAGTTCCCACCCTGAACACTAAAAGGAAGGGGTGGGGAGTGATGTTAAGTCAGTCACCACAAACCAGCCTACGTGAAAGGGGAATAGGAAGCACCCTAAGCCCAGCTCCCCCATGTGCTCCCGCCGCCGGAGAAAAAAATAAATACATGGGGGGAAAAAAAATACAAAAATGTTTATTGCAAACTACTACAATAATTTATTGAAGCAAACTGCATGCGAGTGGTGGGAGAGACACGGAGGGGGAGAAGCAGCAGGAAGGCATTGAGTGTCAGTTTTAGTTTTTTAAACCCGAGGCTGGAAGTTACACAGGTCTCTCCTGCCCTGGAGGTTAGAAGGCTGTGTTTAAGGACAGAAACAATTGGATGAGACCAAAGGGGGGAGGGAGGAAGGAAGGTTAAACCAGAAGAGTGTGTGGGATGACGGCAAGGAAGTGACAGGGATAGGAAGGACTTCAGAGCCGAATTACCCACTCATTGCTGCCTGCTGGAAATGGGAGAAACTTTCCCTCTACTGGAGAAGTTGAACAGCCCACATCCTTATTTCCCAGGCGAGGTGACTGGGCTGCATCACTCTGCAGGCAAGTCATGGGGCAGTCTCGCTATTGCACCACCCCAGAGTGAGATTTCCACCCAATAGCATTTTAGTGCCATCCTTAGAAATAAAAGGAAATTGATAAGGCAAAGTTCTCCTTTTAGTGTTCCCTGGAAGGCCCGGTCTGCATCAGACTTCAAACCACATGACGGAGGGTTTCCACAGAGCTCCCACAGAACTGGTCTGTAGCAGCGTTTGGCTGGCTGACCAGCCAGCCAAAACGAACCTGCACCACAATAGCTTTTAATCATGCAAAGTCAGGACCTAGACTAGAAGAGTTTTAAACACAGGTGTCAGGAGATGGCCACAGTCGTCCTGGCCAGCAAAACCACATATCTAGGGCTAGTTGAAAGCTTTCCATCAAAACTGGTTTTGAGCAAATTTTATTTAATTCAATTATCTGCAGAACATTTCAGCTTCCTGCCCCAAAGCCAAAATCTTCCATTTGGAAATGTTAAACCGGTTTTGATGTTTGTAACTGAAACGAGACATTTCAACATTCCAAATGAAAGTTAGTTGTGTCTCATTTCAACATTAAAGCACATCTTCCTGAGCTGCTGCTGCTGGGAATTGTAGCTCCAATGCCTTAAGCCCCCATTCCATTCTTATGTTCTCAGCTGGACTACATCTCCCATGATGCACCACAACCATCTGACTACACGAGACAACCAATCTATCAGAAAGAGGGAAGAACATGGTGCATCCTGGGAGATGCAGTCTGACCAGGGAGCCCACCCCATAGGGTGACCTGCAGCAGCTCAGGTAAACACAGTTTAATGTTGAACTGATCCAAACTGAAGTGAATTGTTTCACAATATGTTTGACAAATGTGGGTCGACCTGACCAGAAACAAGACATTTTGCTGTGATTTTCCCAAAAGATTTCAGCCGTCAGCCTGTTTCCAGTTTTTAGAAAACGTTAAAACATTCTGCAGTAAATTTCCAATGAAAATGACATTCTTCTAGTTTGTCAAACTTTTCTGCAGAAAAATTCCATTTTCCAACCAGCTCTACAACAAACAAGTTTTGCTGGCTCGGTGTTTAAACAGGGTATTGTAACTGCCTCCTGAACCACATGGACACGAGCAAACAGATTATTCCTCGCTTTTTCCAAAAAGCAAACAAAGGTAAGGTCACTGCATGAAGTTTCTGACAATGGACAGAGCAAAGATCTGCGCTCAAGACTTAAGATACATTATGTCCTAAACCTTTCTGAGGTGTCTTAATTACAAAGCTATGCATGCCCATCTCTCGCTCTCAGGCAAAACCACACCATGTCTCACAGAAACTAGGAACGTTTGCGAAAGCTGGCCTTGTAAGGAGCATGTGTAGGGGGAACACACCCCATGCTCTGTCCCCAGGGGTGTCCGTGCAGGGAGAGAAGTTGCCATTTCCGCAACCAGATGTCAGTCAGTCTGCCTGCCTCTATTCAAATCATGAGCCCAGTCTCTTCCCCCCCATAGCTGTCTCTCTTTCAGGAAAGGAGAGGCAGAATTGGATGGGGAACGTGATATCCTGCGCCACTTAGTTATACATCTGTCACAAGACTGGAACAAGTTCCTTGGCTATCAGTGCTAATCCTTCCAATGGCAGGGAGTGAGGATGAATCAGTGAGAAAAAAAAGGGTTAATGCAAGGAGCTTGGAATAAACTGGGGAGGGAGAGAGAACGCTATATAAAGTTGTTTCTGCAGTTCAGAGCCCTAAACTAAGCTACCCATCCCCCACTGCCTACCCCACCCCAAAGCAAACAATTGCTCCAAAACTCCACAATGCAAATGGAGTTCCTCCCATGGGGCCTGTCACACTGCCCTGTTTACAAACAGCTCCTCAGCCTCCGTAGTGCTTTCTTCACCCTGATTCTCTTTGTGGTGGGGATCAGTCCTAGCAGCTGCTGCTCCAGCACGGCTAACCCCGAGGAGTTCCACTGATGTCAAGGAGCCAACCCCCCGCAAATGTCATTAAAAACACCAGACCCTCTGATCAATAAATAAGGACTTTTGTTACCACCACACAAAAACGAAACATGTTCAAAGTGCAAATGACTGTCACCAATCGGAGCCTTCTCACTGCCTCTCCCACACAGGGCTCTCGTACAGAGCCAAGCCCCAGCATCTCAGCAAGCGAGCACCATCTGAGCGCCGGGGCGTGCCCTCTACTTCCCATCAGTGACAGAGGGGAAGGGTGCGAGAGGGGGGACAGGTGCTGTTTTACAGCTCACCCTGCTGAGGGGCCCTAAAGTGCCAAGCCAAACTCCCAGACCCAGGAGGAAGAAGACAAGACTGCAAGGAGCAGAATGCAGCAATGCATAGACGTTGGGCAGAGAGAGTCTTAAGAACGAGAAGCTGGTCCAGAGCCCAAACTCTTTCAAGTTTGCAAACAGGGATTTGTTGAGGAGCAGGGAAGGCGCCTGGGTTTGGGGTGAGTGAGGGCCTCTGGCTGCTTCCCTTCACTCGGAGAATTCCTTTGCTCTGTCTCGCTCTAGTAACTGCAGCATCCCCTTTCTGAAAAGGGGCAGTAGGACAGAGAAGGGGTCAGGAAGCGGGGGGTGCTGTGATCCACACTGGAGGGGAGCAGGCCCTTCGTTTATTTACTAGTATTTTAAATTTGTTTAACTTCTCTCTTTTTTAATAAGTTTCTCCATTTTTCTCTTTTAAATACAAAGTCCGAGCTGTCCCAACAACCACGTGCTCCCTGCCTGCTAAGGTCCGGTAGAGTCAGAATCTTCAATCAGAACCTCTGTGGTGGCTCCCAGAATCTCCGTGTTCATGACCAGCCCTTCCGTGCTCCCGCTGCTACCGCCGCCAACGAAGAGCTTGCCATCGGCCATCAGGCTCATGCGCTCAGCCCCACTGCAGTACGCCTTTGGCATCCCGTCAGGGTTCAGCAGTAGGCACTCGCCAGGGGCAGTGCTTCCCAGGGGGTCAGGGAGGAGGGGAAGGCCCTGGCCATCGGTGGGTGGGGCAATGGACTCTGGACTAGTGCCCAGGATGTCGGTGCTGGTGATTAGGGCGCCTGCATTGGCAGCTAGTGCTTCAGCAATAAGCACCTCTGGGTGGCTCTTGGCCTTATGTGCCACCACGCTGTCCTTCTTCTCAAACTTCTTGCCACAAATGTTGCAGGAGAACTGGTAGAAAGAGTCTGCGTCATGCTTTTTCATGTGCCAGTTCAGAGAGGCCTTCTGCCGGCAGGTGAAGCCGCAGATCTCACACCTGGGGAGTGGGAGGGGAAAAAAAGAGGTCAGTAGGGGAACATGGACACAAGTAAGGCGATGCAACAGAGAATGCAGGCATATGAAGGCCAGACACAGAATCGCAGACAGGTGCACGAGGCAGAGTCAGCTGTGGCCAGGGAAATGTGGCCAGTTGACGGAGGTAGAGGCATATTTCAAAAGGCCGGCAAGGCAAAGCAGGAGTACTCACTGTAAAGGCTTCTCGCCTGTGTGGATCATTCGGTGCACTGCCAAGTTGTGGGAACTCTTAAATGCCCGGGCACAGTATTCACAGATATAATCCCTTTGATCTGTAAAGCAGCAGACACATCTCAGCTTAACACCTGCATCTGGATCAGAACCACATTCTTGGGTTGAAAGTCCACTCATCTGACAGTTGCCCTAAGATCCCACTTTTAATTTTGAAGGTTTCTGGGTGAAAGCGAGGCAGCAATTTAAGAGTTAAGAACTGTCTGATCCCACCAGGACTAACGAAGGAGGAAGCATCTCCGGATGCTCAACAGCAAGCCCTGTGGATTATTAAAGGTAGAGCGGATGGGCTCGAAAGGGGATCCTGACCAATCCCACATGCTTGACAAGGTGAAGCCTGACAAGAGCATCTTAAATGTGGAGAAAACAGGATGACACTGTTGCAAAAAGGCAACCTATATGCCAAATAAAATAATGCTACAGTACAAACCCAAAGGCTTACTTCCACCTACTCGCACTGTCTAATGGGTGTGCGTGAGCAATTAGGTAGTAGTCCCAGCAGGAAGGGAATAACCACCAGTCATCTGCGCTACCTAGGTTAGACTCTTCCTCACCTCAGGAGAGGTGAGTGTTTTCCCCTCTCCAACCATCCATGGGATGATGGGTTGGATTCAAGTCTCCCCACCTCCCCCAGTACCTGTGTGGTGTTTGGCATGCCGTAGCAGCTGCTTCTGGAGCCGGAAGAGCCGTCCACAGGAGGGATGGGGACACACATATTTCTTCTTCAGCAGATGCTGGTATTTGATGTGATGCTAGGAAAGATGACAAAAAAGTTACAACCTTCTCTGTCTGACTAAAGGAACTGCTGAAAATCAGATCCCAGGTGACAAGTTAAGCAACGTGACAGACCATAAGGGCTACAATCAACCTCCTTGTGCATTGCAGGAGAGCTAACAGGATGCAATTATACCAGATCTGGGATCTGATGAAAAGCAGAAATACAGGTGAAGAGGCACATATGGTACAGTTACAACGGGGCTGGGATTAGCTTCATTACTTGTTACTGGCTAGTAATAACACCTAGCTCTTCTTTAGTGCTTTTCATCAGTAGATCTCAAAGCACTTTACAAAAGGAGGTCAGCATATTATCCCCATTTTACAGATGGGGAAACTGAGACACAGGGAGGGAAAGTGACTTGCCCAAGGTCACCCAGTGGGCCTCTTCCAGAGCTAGGAACAGAACCCAAAACTCCTGCGTCCCAGTCCAGTGCACCACCTTCTAAACCAGTGCCTCCCTTACCAAACTGCATTAAAAAGGAACACTGCAGTGAAAGGTGAAAGAGTGGCAGCTCCTTGACCCCAGATCCAAATGAGTGGAAGAGCCTGACTGACCTGCAAATAGCGAGGGTGGGCGAGGACTGTGCCACAGCCTTCCATCTCACAGCGTACATACTGTATTGGAGGCTTCTTCCTAAGAAGTACATGGGACAGTAATGCACAGAGAGGTTAGATGGAAAATATGAAGTAGATGCAGTATAGATTAAACAAGAAAGCCATTGCAGCTCACCAATAATGTGGAAGTGACGAGGTCACCAGATCAACTGTCTTGTGAGTCAGCACATTTCAACTTGTGCTCTCCCCTGTAGCTCTCCACCCCAGGACTGCTCGTGGGTTTTAGCCACGTGTGCTCATCACCCAAGAGATGACAGTGACAGAGCACCTGTAGCCTTATCATTGGCTTCTGCCATGCTACCGACCAACTCAAAAATGACCTGACTGCAAGAATCCATCATGGTGGTTTTAGAGTGAGCTACAATGATTTCTAAACTATGCCCAATAAAATCATGTATGAAGTAGCTGGTTCTTAGGGGGTTAAGCTCCTCCATACAAGAAATGGAAAGGATGAAAATCTACAGTAAGGAAGGTGGAGAAAAAGGTAAGTCTCACTCACCTTCTTTTAGGCAGCCGTGGGCTCTTGTCATCTTTTCTCCTCCTTCCCCTCCTGTGATAGAATTACAGAGATAGGATTAAAAACTATGCTCCTTTGCAAGGCATAAGGGCACAACTAAGATGGAATAGGGAAGCCTTCTCCACATGAGCAATCCAGAGCATGGCTCTGGGTCATGGGAGAAATCCACCATTTCAAAGCCTGAGAAAGTCCCAGTCGGGGGGAGCAGGGAATAGATTCCACAGACCTGATCTAAAGCCCACAAAGGTCAATGAGAGTCTCTGAACTTACCTCCATAGCCTTTGGATCAGGGTCATATAGAGTACATGACCTCAGATAACCAGCATCCATCCAAACATTAATACACATGTTGCAGCCCCCAGCATGCTACACTAGAGGAACTCCAAGTGACCGGGGTTTTTCTTTCAGTGGGAATGTGCCATTCACATAGGGATGTTCCTCCATAAGAACTATTAACAAGAACTTTGTTTTTTGTATTCTTATGCCACAAGAGGGTGCCAAACCCACTAATCCAGCTATGCTCAGTCTGTGTAGCTAGCTTCTGTACCCACTGCTCTGGATCTCAAGCAGAATGAAGGGTTGAAAAATCAAAAAAGGTCCTCAGGAAATTGTGCTTTTTCATCTACTGTTTTTCCCTGCAGCCAAGTATTCATGTCATATAGATCAATTATTTGTGTAGCATATCCAGAGGCCATCAAGATGTTAAACACCGTACAAACACATACCAAAGACTTTGCTTGTACCAAAGAGCTCACAGAGAATCTTTAAAACATATACTAGTAGTCACAAAACATTTCTGTATAGTGAAAAAGAATCAGACTCATAGGGTTGGAAGGGACCTCAGGAGGTCATCTAGTCCAACCCCCTGCTCAAAGCAGGACCAATCCCCAGACAGATTTTTACCCCAGTTCCTTAAATGGCCCCCTCAAGGATTGAACTCACAACCCTGGGTTTAGCAGGCCAATGCTCAAACCACTGAGCTATCCCTGTTAACACACAAGCACCACAGAGAACTAAAGAAAGCGGAGCCCGCACTGACAGCGATGAGGGGTATGGCTTAATAGAAGAGGTCGCTCTGATGTGACAGTACCTGGGACAGTCAAGCTTCTCAATGACACTATCAAGTTTGCTCAGTTTACAGGCCGTGTTTTTGACTGTCTAGAAAACAAGTTGGGATCGGAAAGTTAAGTTGGGTCCCTTTTGGCTCACATATAAGCACAAGAGCTTCTGCACTCAGTGAATGTTAATAGTCAAGCTAGTATAGAAGCCAGCTCACTCTCCATTGCTATCTGCTCTGCTCAGCTAACAGGCATAACAAAAATAGCAAAAACCTCATGTCAGAAAAGCAATCCGGTATGACTTGGACACACGAAGATTTGGAGTAAGACAGCTCTTTTGTTAAAAAGATATATTAAAGGATTGATGTGATGCATGTCATAAGAATCTTTTCAACTCTAATGGTGTTTTGTTGCTTTTCTCTCAGCGCTCTCTAGTTTGCAACATCGAGCACTCAAGAATTGAACACCGTAACCCATGTGATTGTCCAGCTGTGACGAAGTAGGTTTTATTCACCTTGTTATGTTGTATGTGACTCTTACTGTCCTATACTAATACCGTGTGTACCTTAGTTTCCCTGTGTACTGCACTGATACTTCAGCGGTGGGAATTGGGTGTGTGTGATTTTTGCTGAGCCCCTCAGGGCAGGTGAGGCTGCCCAGCTGTTTGCACCTAGGTAACCTGAGACCCAGGAGGGGGGGGATGCAACCAGGTGACATCTTTTGCCCAGGAAGTGAGAAAGAAGGAGGAGGAGCAACAAGGGGGGGGGTGTTGGGAGGTCGGATCGCTGGAAGCTGGTAGTCTGCGTGGGGGGACTGGAAGAGGGGGAGTCCAGGGCGTCTGGCGCAGGATTCCCAAGATGAACTTGGCTGAAAGTCACTGATTTCTGTAATAGCATGCTCTGTTCTATGCTGTGTTCCTGTCGACTAATAAACCTTCTGTTTTACCAGCTGGCTGAGAGCCATGTCTGACTGCAGAGTTGGGGTGCAGGGCCCTCTAGCTTCCCCAGGAACCCCGCCTGTGCAGACTCGCTGCGGGAAGCGCACGATGTGGAAGGGGATGCTGAATGCTCCGAGGTCAGACCCAGGAGACAGTATGTTCAGAGACTGGCTTCATACGGAGTAGTTCCAGAGCACTGACCTGATGACTCCATGACACCAACACACATCCAGACACAAAAAGCTTTAAGTGTGGTTCTACTCTGAAGAATAATTGTATAAAAAACTTATGTAACAGACCTGCCTAAAATAACTTGTTACTTCTGTTAACACTGCAACACAAATACATTTATAGCAGAGAGATGGATCCTTTCCTGACTCACAAAGCAGAATCGTTAACAACACTATTTGCTGAATTTTTATTGTTGGCGATATGTGAGTTAGTAAGAACCCACAGGGACTCTTAGATCTCAAAATGAGCTCACAGGAATGGCATAATTTTAATTCCTCAAACTGAGCATGTTTGATCTGGAGTCACTGAAGACATCAGGAAGCCCCACAAAGCCAAGGTTTAGAAGAGTTACTTTTCTGAGGACTACTGCACTTTAATATTAGAGTTGCAGAAATATAATCAACTACAGCTGAAGAACAGATACCACAGTTGGGGACTGAACTCCACATACAGCTGATTTTTTGGCAGTGCAGTCCAGCAGAGCGAGACCTGCTCTTCTCCCTCTCCCATCCAGAAGTTCTCTCGAGATTAAAATGCCCCTTTTTACCTCATGCTAGAGTGAGGCCTTGACTTAGACCAGCAGATCCCAAACTTTATTGGTTCGTGCACCACCTTCTTAAATTGTTGGGAAGTGAACTGATGGAACACTATGATCGCACTACCTCCAGTGGCAAATGCACCCCAGTTTGGAAACCCCTGAACCTAGATCAGAGGTTTTCAACCTGTGGTCTGTGGACCCCTGGGAGGCTGCAGACTATGTCAGTTTCTAAAGGGGTCTGCACTTCCATTCGACATTTTTTAGGGGTCTGCAAATGAAAAAAGGTTGAAAACCACAGCCCCTAGATGCATCCCAGCTGATTTATCTCCGTTGCTAAAGAGAAGAGCTTCTTAATGTTTAGCTCAAGAAGCCACAGGGCAATGAAAACAATTCTTGAAGCTTTTGAGGTTCCACACAGAATGCCTGCAAGTTACTTTTATGTTTGCTTTTTTTTTTTTAAAACAGGATCCTGCCTGCTTGTTGAAAATTTTATTTGCCTCAAGACAATTTGGAAAAGTCTAGACAAACAGTGCGTGGCAAGAAGGGGTGTAAATCTACAGCGTACCAGCCTTCTGAGCACTAACTGGCCATACAGACCCAGCTGCCATGTACTAAAAGTTCCCTAGTGCATTCTGATTTACCCCACTTTGAAACTGGAGTCAAAGTGCACTAGAACTGTTAGTGCATTGCAGCAGGGTCCGTACAGCTGACTAGTGCAAAGGAGATTTATACCCTAGCTTGATGCGAACTATTTGTTTGTCTAGGGCAGTGGTTTTCAATCTTTTTTCCATTTGAGGACCCCTAAAAAATTTAGACCATGAATACTGTGTACAGTTCTGGTTGTCCCAATTTGAAAATGATACATTAGAAATGGAAAAGGTGCAGAGAAAAGCAACAAAAATGACTAAGGGTATGGCACAGCTTCCGTGTGAAGAAAATTTAAAAAGACTGGGACTATTCAGCTATGAGAGAGGTCTGTGAAACCATGGTGTGGAGAAAGTGAGTAAGGAAATGTTATTTACCCCTTCACAAGAACCAGGGATCACCTAATGAAATTCATAGACAGCAGGTATAAAACAAACAAAAGGAAGCACTTCTTCACATAACACACCATCAACCTGTGGAACTTGTTGCCGGGGATGTTGTGAAGGCCAAAAGTATAACTGGATTAAAAAAAAGTTAGATAAGTTCATGGAGGATAAGTCCATCGACGGCCATTAGCCATGATGGTCAGGGATACAGCCGCATGCTCTGTGTCCCTCTAAGTCTCGGATTGCCTGATGCTGGGACTGGATGACAAAGGATGGATCACCTGATGATTGCCCTGTTCTATTCATTCCCTTTGAAGCACCTGGCATTGGCCACTGTTGGAAGATAGGATACTGGGCTAGATGGACCATTGCTCTGACCCAGTACGGTCATTCTTATGTTCTCTGTTTTCCCACATCCAAGCATGCCTGCCTCAGATATGAAAGAGGGGCACCTCTCCCATGGCAGTGTGTAAACAATACTCATGTCTTCCTGGATGCACGTTACAGAGAAAAATCTGACTCTTCCAGACTAGTTTCTTTAGGCAGTCTCTTCTGCATTGGGCTTAAAAATGAGCACTGTGAATAACTGCTCCATCTAACAAGGCTTCTAATATAGTTTAGATGACCAGCAAAGATGGGGCCAATAGAAATGTGTTTAAAAACCATACAACTTAAAAAAACAATAAGCCATTTTTCACTCTATGCTGCCTCATCCAGATTGGCTGGCCACGCCATGTTACAAGACAATTTAGCTTGAACCATACTGAAATAGTGTTCTTTAATGTCTCCTTGCCCAGTAGAGACAGGACCTTAGAAGAGGTGATCTCCAACCAGGGTAAGGAATTTTGATCCTTTCAGCCTACTGATTTCAAATCACTTTTCAGGTGAAAAAGGGGAAAGAACCACTCCTGCCTCCCACAAAAGTGCGAGGGGAAAGCATAAGACACTGTCCAGGATGCCTATGCAAAAACATACATGAGGAATAGCTGTTCCTGGAATCTTTTACTCACTTCCTGGGTGGCTCCTCATCTCCCCGAAACTCACTTTCTTCTTTCACCTCCACCTCCACTTTAATCTCCTTCTGTTTCTCTTTTTCTTCCTTCCCCTTGCCAGCTTTCCTCCTTGGCTTTGGAGTGTCCCTGCAAAGATACAGATATGATACACTCTAGTACTCAGCAGAAATCCTCCATCTGTCATAGTGCCCTCTGCATTTACACTGCAACACCATTGCTCTCCCCCTCGCCACACATGAGCAATCCCTGGGAACTGCACAACTCTAGTAAAAACAACGAGGAGTCCAGTGGCACCTTAAAGATTAAAGATTTATTTGGGCATAAGCTTTCGTGGGTAAAAAACATGGAATGAAAATTACAGATACAGGCATAAATAGATATTGGCACATCAAGAGAAGGGAGTTACCTTACAAGTAGAGAACCAATGTTGAAGGCCAATTTAGTCAGGGTGGATGTAGTCCACTCCCAATAATTGATGAGGTGTCAATACCAAGAGCGGGAAAATTGCTTTTGTAGTGAGCCAGCCACTCCCAGTCCCTATTCAAGCCCAAATTGATGGTGTTAAGTTTGCAAATGAATTGTCGTAACCATCCTTACTGCCTCCCCATCATATTCCTTCTGACCTATGCTTTTAATTAAGGATGATGAGGGAAGGGAGTTCAATAGGCAACTTTGGACTCCTATACAAATGTTACATACACCTCCCTGCAGAGGCAGGGATAGCTCAAACCAAGGTTCAGGGAGAAGCTGGTAGTCAGTGGCACTCAAACCCAAGTCATCTGAGCTGTTAGATAAGATAATTGTCCTGTTAGCTCTAAGCAGTGGAGACTCATCAATCTTGACTAATAGAGAACCATGTTTCTTTCAAAATATATGCTATAGCTCAAACAAAGTTCTAGACTTGATGCAGATGCTATGTGGTGAGGTTCTTTGGCCTGTTTTCTGCAGGAGGTCAGAGTAGATGATCATAATGCTCCCTTCTGGTCTTGCAAGCTATGCATGTATATAATCCAGCATACCTTTCTAAGTGGGGCTTGTAGGTTTCGTCTCTTGGGTCATCTTTGAAGGGAATCTCTTCTTCACTGATCAGCATCTCCTCCTCTTCATCACTGCTATGATGGAGAAGGCAAAAAAAAAGAGGTAGTAGAACTGCTTATATATCAGCGGTTCTCAAACTTTTGCACTGGTGACCCCTTTCACACAGCAAGCCTCTGAGTGCGACCCCCCCCCATAAATTAAAAACACATTTTTGTATATTTAACACCATTATAAATGCTGGAGGCAAAATAGGGTTTGGGGTGGAGGCTGACAGCTGGTGACCCCCTGAGGGATCCTGACCCCCAGTTTGAGAACCCTGATATATATGAAATAAGTCACTGCATGACACTCCCTGGAACGAGGAGGATATCCTTCAGCCAAGACTGTTTAGGGAAAATGAACAGACTATACAGAATAAGGAACGGGACATGTGACAGATATGACAATTTCCTCCTATATCCTGGCCAAACCTTATGGAATTAAACCTAATTCAGTATGGTTCAACTTAAGTATTTTAGGAGTTCACGGTGTTGAAAATGCACCTGTTTCTGTATTATTATGGAACGTCTCTAGGGGGGTGAGCCTGACTACTGAAAGCTCTGGGAGGGGTTCTGAGCTTCAAAGGACTATCTGAAATAATGCGTATTTTTTAACGTGGGTTTCCCAGAAGTCTCTAGGGGGAGGTGTGTGCAACTGTAAACTCCTCTGGAGATGCACCGAACTCAGCCTTTGAAGCTTGCTGAGGAGGAGGTGGCCTTTTGTCTGCTGACCACTTGTTATGTGAGGACAGATTAAAAGGCCCCAAAGTGGATAAGAGAATGACTCTTAGATTCATGGGAGTGCTTGTTCTGAGTCAATGCGGTTATGAACTTGTAACCGCAGGGAAAAAAAATCCTGGTGAAAAACTGCCAGAGCCCTTGTTGGGGTTGAGGAATCTCTGGTAAGCTTGTTAGCATGCATATAGGTTCTCCTATTGTGTTCATGTTCTAGGTAATGCTTTTACCTGAAGAATGTATGTGGTTGCTTAGAAAGAGCAATGTGGTAACTTAACTCTGGCAGTGACATTGCTTACAGCCTCTGAAGAGAAGGCCAAGAAGGCCTGCTAAGGCAGTCTGCCTTTGGGGAAATTCAGTGTAGTCAGGGAACCGTGCAGCCTGGGAGGGAAAGCAAGGTGGGTCTCCTGCAGGAGACAGTACAGATGGGGAGCCAGAAGCCTGAGTGCATGTCCTTGCTGGACCATGGAGGGAGACTAGAGATGCAGTTGCCCTGAACTGTGACAGTATGCATCAGAGACAGCTTCAAAATAGACCCTTTAGGTACCGCACAGCAGACTCTGACTAACAGCCTCATGGGAACACGACCCTGCTTTACCTTGTCAAGCTTTACTAGGCTCTAGCAACAATGGGCCACCAAGCAACCTGATTATAGGTTCTATTGAAGGAGCCCCATTGCTATGTAATAAGCCTGGATACAATCCACACTGTACTATTTACATTCCCACACCTCTACATCAGTGGTTTTCAAACTGCGGGTCGTGACCTAGTACTGGGTCACAGAATGTAAGGCACTGGGTCATGGCAGCTTTGGTCAGCAC